TGATGCCACTATACCTTGCACCCGTACATTGTGTCTAAATTAAATTCAAATATTAGCATTAAAATGTGACAAAATAAATGTAAAATTTTTGGAACTAATAAAATTACACTGGAAAGTCAAAATGCAATAAGGTAAAAATTCTTTTACCTTAAAAGGATATTTAAATCCTACCAGTATAATTCTATTAGCACACAAAAAATTAAATGTCACATAAACATATACATTGAATGTATATGATTGAAGACAAAACTTGACCGGCATTTAATACCGGATCAAGTACTGGGGCCGCGGCATGGGACGCACACACAATACAAGACAAAGTGATCAGCTGAAATCAATGCTCCAGCACAAGAAGACAATTGTACTACTTATCCTTGCCAGAGATCTTCAACGACAAGGATTAATTCATCTCAACCAACGGATGAGATTAATCAACCATGAAGGCCTATAAATATAGGTAGAAGCATGAGTTCGAAAATAAGTTTTGAGCATCCTAAGTAGAGAAATACTTTCATCAAAGCATATACGAGATATCTAGCAAAAGAGAAAGTGCAAACTCAACTTTACTCTCTGCTTAGCCTCATGCTTCACTAAGCTCTTAGATTAGATCAATACTTTTACATTTTTAGAGCTTAGTTCATAGTTGGAGGTTAGAACTTTCTTGTAACATTTCACAAGTGGTTGTAAACACTTAGGAGAACAGTTGTTCGGATCCTAAAGTGTAGTTAGATAGATAGAGTACCTTTTGATCCCCACTGGATCAATTGAGAAAAGTCTAAGGACTGAGTAACTTTGAGTGGTGTTATACTCATTGTGAAAAACCTTCAATCTAGGCCTAAGAGTTGTAAAGGCTAGATTGGCACTAAGTGTATTGGGCTAAATACTTTAGTGGAAATCCATTTGAAAGAGAATGGGACTGGATGTAGGAGGATTACACCACCTCTGAACCAGGATACATCGTGTGTTGATTATCCTTTACTCAACAGAGCACACACCCAACACTTCTCATTAAAGGGATCGTAGTTTGCCAGCAGCATCCTAAGCAGTCATCTTAATTGACTCTACTGCTTATCCTACTGCTTAATAACTCACTTTTCCTTGAGACATCTGTTTCCCTAAAACTTTGAATATCACAACTAAAAGGTGTGGTTGGTCAGTCCTCAAAGATACCTCTTTATAAGCAGCAGACGGCTTAGCAGTCTCCTGGGATTATCCAACTGCTCAGTCCACTGCTCAGGCAAACCTTTCTATCACCACCAGCTCAGCACATATTCAGTAAGCTCACATCATTCTTTACAAGGCCATATTATCATCTTTCTCAATCTCCTATCTTTCACTAGCAGTTGCCTCAGCAGTTCCCTGCCATCTAGGCAACTGCCAAGCCAACTGCTCATTGTTTAAAATCCAAACATCATTCAAGCCAGAAAGTTGTCACACACTCATTACATAAAGGGTAAAGACTTCCGCTGTGCATCTGTTAATCTCTCAAAAGATTATAGATCAATTCATCTAGAGGGAAAATTTCATAAAGTAGAAAAAGATTTAAAAGTCTATTCACCCCCCCTCTAGACTTTTACCCTATCCGGGACCATCAGTTTTGCATAGTGGTCATGTTGGTAGCAATAGCCCGGACCATATCCTCCGTAGACATGTTAGAGTTGGAGAACGGATCATACCTCATGTGAGGTACATCTCTTTCGTAACCAACATCATCAGTTTGTTCAAGGTATTCATCTTGGAGCTTTGGACAGAAATCCGTAAAATGCCTGTGAGACATGCAAATGTTGCATGTCTTGGCATCTTGAGCTTCCGAGTTTAAGATAAATTCCTTTATTAGAGAAGTCAAGAAGGAAATTTGACTCTCTAAGGATGATATGTTGGCATCCATATACTCATAACTCATGTAAGCTCAGAAAATAGAAGAGTAAGTTTTTTTTTTTTTGAAATATTTTTTTATTTTGTTATTTTGTTTTTGATTTTTATGAGATAAAATAAAAAGAAAAATAATTGTCTTTCCCCGGCAACGGCGCCAAATTTGACGTGCACTTTGTCGTGAGTGCAGTCAAAATAATATTCAATACTAGCACTAATACGTAGTATAGCGTAGTAAGGTTCGTATCCGCAGGGAAAGGAATATTTCTCTTTTTATAGAACTAATAATAAAAAGGGGGGTTTTAGTTTGATTTGGTTTAATTAATTAAACACGAAGATAAATGAATTATGCGGTTTAATTCAAAGATAAAAGGGACTTGGCATTGCTACTTTCCACTTGTTGATATATTTTAGTCGATCATTGTTATATCTATAACTTATCTCCTCTCGAATACTCAATCGAGGAGTATATCCAATTCATCGAGGATAGTTATTAACAACGACCGTTCATTAATAACCCTTACTATTAGCCAAGTATAGAACACCGCCATATACCGACTTGATAGTAGCATTTAATCGTTTAACTCCTTGATGAAATCAATTGAGATTGATAACCTCAACACAACGGTTTCGGTTTAACCAATAAAATTAATCCCTCTTAAGTTTATTAACCACGACCGTGCATTAATAAACCGAAGTTACTTACTTGTGAAACCATCAACGATTAACCATTGGTTCGTTGATCGTCTCTAGTAGTAATTAATGTCGAGATGTTAACTAATTGTCATCTTAGCAACACTCCCCAACATTAATATAGAGATAGATTAAGGGAAGAATTAATACTCAAGGAAGAATATTAAAGAAGATGAATCCTACTATAATTAATATCAAGATGTTAACTAATTGTCATCTTAGTAACACTCCCCAATATTAACATAGAGGAAGAAATAACTATTACTATAACTAATGTCAAGATGTTAACTAATTGTCATCTTAGTAACACTCCCCAACATTGATACAGAAATAATATTTAAAGAAAGAATTAATATTCAAGGAAAGAAGTTAAGAAAATAACTCACAACTTTAAAAATCAACAAGCTTCAAGAGCAACACCAAGAAATGGAAGTTTAGCTCCTCATTTGGAGACTAAACATGCTATAAAAATATAAGAAATAACTATTCTAAACTGAGCTTAAGTATATGGAAGAAGGGATGATTTTATTGTGAAGGAAAAGGGGTGTATTTATAGGTGTTTGGAGGTAGCAGGGTGGTGTACCCGATCGGGTATATAGGGTACTCGATCGGGTATTTTAGGCAGTTTCCCGGAAAATCACTTTTCTAGACATACCCTATCGGGTATGAAGGCATACCCGATCGGGTATGAGCCAAATCTTCAAAATCCTGCACGTTTTTTTGTCTCTCCAAATCTCTCCAGATTTTGATTTTGACACCCGAATCAACTCAATACCCGATCGGGTATTGCCTATACCCGACCGGGTATATGAAATATTTTTTCAATCTTCTTTTTATCTTGTCCCCTTGCACTTTCCTTGATCTTTTGGGGTCCAAACTTGATCCTTTGGATGATCTTGACCTGTTTTAAGCTCATAATAATCCTAATCTAAATAAATTACAAATAATTAATGAAAATAACGTATTACACCAAAAGTGTGTAATTTCCACAACTAGAACTAATAAAACTAGTTAAGAATACAAACATACATAATTGGAAATTCACACCATCATTCACTCAGATGTTTGGGGTGCTTGCCCGGTTGTGTCTAAAGCTGGTTTTAAATATTTTGTTACCTTTGTTGATGACTATTCTCGTATGACATGGCTGTATTTCATGAAACGTCGATCTGAGTTGTTCACTCATTTTTCTTCCTTTTGTGCTGAAATTAAAACTCAGTTTAACGTTCCTATTCGGGTGTTAAGAGGAGACAATGCCCAAGAATATCTATGTGCTACATTTAAGTCATTTATGCTTCAACATGGCATTATTCATCAAACTTCATGCGTTGACACACCTCCTCAAAATGGAGTTGCAGAACGAAAGAACCGACATCTGTTAGAAACTGCAAGGGCTCTTCTATTCCAAATGAATGTGCCTAAACAGTTTTGGGCAGATGCCGTGTCTACTGCATGTTTTTTGATAAATCGAATGCCATCTTCTGTTTTGAATGGTAAAGCTCCTTATCATTGTCTATTTCCAAACAAAGAGCTTTTTCATATCCCACCTAAAATATTTGGTTGCACTTGTTTTGTTAGAGATGTTAATCCTCATCTTACAAAGTTAGATCCCAAATCATTAAAATGTATTTTCTTGGGTTATTCTCGTGTCCAAAAGGGGTATAGATGTTTTTGTCCGAGTACTGGTCGGTATCTTGTTTCTATTGATGCATCATTTCACGAAAATACACCTTTTTCATCATCTAAGGCAGATATTCATGAGAGTAATGATGATATACTCATTTACACGATGACTATTCCTGAGTCCACACTTTCGCCAAATATTCCACAAGTTACTGTTCCTGACCCTAGGCCTCCCGTACATTTGGTATACACCCGTCGACACAAAACACCTGATCACCCTCCACCGGCGATACCTGTGATTACTTATCCTGATACTAGTTCGACTCCGATCTCATGTCCTGAACCAGTACCTGCATCTTCAGATCTTGTCTCCACATCAGATCTTGACCTCCCAATAGCACTACGTAAAGGTACGCGGTCTTGTACTCATCCTATTTCTTCATTTGTGTCGTACAATCAGTTATCTCCTGCTTCATGTTCTTTTATCGCTTCCATTGATTCTATTTCTGTTCCCAAATCTGTCAAAGAAGCTTTGTCTCATCCCGAATGGCGTCATGCCATGGTAGAGGAAATGAATGCTTTAGATCTTAATGGTACTTGGGATTTGGTTGACTTGCCTACAGGGAAGAAATCTATTGGATGTAAGTGGGTCTTTGCTGTTAAGGTTAACCCAGACGGATCTGTTGCTCGGTTGAAAGCCCGATTAGTTGCGAAGGGTTATGCTCAAACCTATGGTGTTGATTATTCTGACACTTTTTCTCCTGTTGCTAAATTAACATCTGTCAGGTTACTTATTTCACTCGCTGCAACTCATGATTGGCACTTACATCAGTTGGACATTAAAAATGCATTTTTGCATGGTGACCTTAAGGAAGAAGTCTATATTGAGCAACCTCCGGGATTTGTTGCTCAGGGGGAGTGTGGTAAAGTTTGTCGACTTCGCAAATCTCTTTATGGTCTGAAACAGAGTCCTCGTGCATGGTTTGGTAAATTCAGTCAATCAATTGAACAATTTGGAATGATAAAAGGCAAATCAGATCACTCTGTCTTTTACAAACAAACAGAATCAGGTGTCACATTGCTTGTGGTGTATGTTGATGATATTGTGATTACAGGGAGTGATAATGCAGGTATTTTGGCCCTTAAGAATTTTCTGCATAGTCAATTCCAGACGAAAGATCTTGGCTCTTTGAAATACTTTCTGGGAATTGAGGTAACACGAAGTAAGAAAGGCATATTTCTATCTCAACGTAAATATGTACTTGACTTACTAGCTGAGACAGGGAAATTAGGGGCAAAACCAAGTACAACAGCCATGGTTCCCAACGTGCAACTCACTCAAGAAGGCACACCGTTTGAAGACCCAGAAAGATATAGAAGACTGGTTGGAAAGCTTAATTATCTCGCAGTCACTCGTCCAGATATTGCTTATTCTGTGAGTGTAGTGAGTCAATACATGTCATCTCCAACCATTGATCATTGGGCTGCAGTAGAACACATATTATGTTACTTAAAGGGTGCACCAGGACGAGGTATTGTTTATCAAAATCATGATCACATGAGAATAGAATGCTTTGCAGATGCTGATTGGGCCGGTTCTAAAGATGATCGAAGATCTACATCTGGTTATTGTGTCTTTGTTGGTGGTAATCTTGTATCTTGGAAGAGTAAGAAGCAGAATGTGGTTTCTCGTTCGAGTGCCGAATCAGAATATCGAGCTATGGCACAATCTGCATGTGAGATCATATGGATAAGCCATCTATTGACCGAGCTCGGACTGAAGACATCAATACCTGCTAAATTGTGGTGTGATAACCAAGCTGCTATACACATAGCAAACAATCCTGTATTTCATGAGAGAACAAAGCATATTGAGGTCGATTGTCATTTTATTCGAGAGAAGATACAAAAAGGATTGATCTCTACAGGATATGTGAAGACTGGAGAACAACTTGGAGATTTGTTCACTAAAGCACTAAATGGAATTCGAGTTGGTTATTTATGTAACAAGTTGGGCATGATAAATATCTATGCTCCAACTTGAGGGGGAGTGTGAAAGTATATTAGAATATACTTTAGAATATGCTTTAGAATATATTAGGAATATACCATATATAGTATTATTGAATAGCATCTTTTATAGGAATATTCTATCTTTGTAATCTATATTTATAGGGCTTTACCTTTCAATGAAAAATACAGAAAATTCTTCTCTCCATCTTTAATATCATTCTAGTTTATATTTCAACATAGGATATACTCCGTACTTGTTGACCTTTCTATTTCCCTCATTCGTTGTACCTGTTCGTCGTTCAACTTCTTCGTCCGCTCTCCGCTGCTCCACCTCGCCAGTCGCCGACCTTGACTCCGGACTCTGCGTCGCTTCCTCGCGCCCTCGCAGTGGGCGCCGTCTCCACTCGCCATCCCTGCCCGGCTGCCCTGTGTGACTGCGTCACGAACTTCTAAGTCCGAACTTAGAAGGGCGAAGGCCGCAGCGGTGTCCAGTTACATAATTTGGGTAAGTCCGTAAGTTTGATAATTAATTTTAAAATTGATTCTGTTATAATTACTTTAATGGCGTATTTGGTTTAATTAATTCTTTATTTAAAATTGCTTGTTCGGGGAGAAAGTCAGTTGCTTATTTGCTTAGATTGGGTAAGGATGTTTTTACTTGGACTGTAATTTGTCCCAGATCAGACCAGTCCAGACCAGACCAGACCAGTTCAGACCAGACCAGACTTGGATAGTTATAAAAATACAAAGATACCAGACCTTACCAGACCAGTTCAGACCAGACCAGACCAGATCAGACCAGACCAGCAAATTACAGTCCAAGTAAAAACATCCTAAGTCCGCAAGTTTGTGACTTTGTATAATTGATTAATTAGTTTATTTTGAATTTTAGTTGATTATAACTATTTAAAAATTTGAATTTTGAAGTTGAATTTTTTTTTAACTTGTTAGGTTACGCATGTGGTCATGTCTATTTTACAAATTGTAATGCGAAGCGTTAGGTCTTCTAGGCGAGATTATGCAACGTTTTCAACATATGCAAACACGCCCTACACAATTGTCTCAATTCGTTTCTTCGTCTAACATGTAATTGTAATGTTATGTACTCTTCTCACAGATTTTTGTTTTGTAAACTTTAATAACAATTTATATTTTTGTATTTTATCGTACGTTTCAGCCACCCCTTTATTTTCGTTCTGGTTCCGCCACTCTTAACATCTTGTGATGTTGTGAAACCCCTATTTGTTATAAACTTATACTCCGTAATTACGGAAAATTTACACGAAACACGAATTAAACAAGCACAATACATGCAAAATTGCAAAGTAACTTAGATTTTTTAATTTTTTACACTCGTTTTGTTTCTTTCTTTCCTATATACTGATAACGTACTAATTGATATACTACTCCTTCCGTTCTCAAAAATACTTTTCACTTTCCTTTTTGGATCGTTTCCAAAAATACTTCTCACTTTCCCTTTTTGGACAACTTGTGTCGCTCATATTCATTTTACCTTTTTCTTACACAATCACAACCATACATTTCCACTTTATTTCACTTTCTTGATAAGCGCGCCAAGTCAAATCGGGAAGGATTTTTAAGAACGGAAGTAGTATTTCATACGAGGTACACATTTGATGAAGTTTAATTCCAACTACAAAAGCTTATCCTTGAAAATAGAGTATTTGGGCTGCGTTAGACAATATATTATTATTTGAAAAAATGGATCTCTTTTAAGTTAAGTACATGAAGTACATAAAGCTACAGTAGCTAGCCTAAGGAGACATAACCGGTACATTAAATGGGTCTAATCAGGATAGGCAGTTGCGGACCCAGAAAAATAGAGCCATGGAGTCTCTACTATAATGTTAGCATGTTACTCTAGTTAATATAAATAAAACAAGTAACATCATAAAAGGACGCAACTTCTTAAAAGGGAATTAATATGGTAAACAAAATGTAGCGTACGCTCCTATCTAGTATCCCATAATTCCGCATTTATTACTCCTTTATGTCAACGTATATTCCGTTAAATCTCTGCCGGCTGCCACCGCCAGATAGCCATATGCACAATGGATGACTTGCAACGTAAATCCTAGCTAGGGCGTGAGTTCGACCTCGCTAGAATCTTGCCTAGCCTTGAGGGTTGCTAATCAGGCCAGCCTGGATGCGGGTTCCTTTCGTGGGTCACAGTTCCCTACTAGGCCCAATTAGCTTTGTTAATTCCGTACAGCGGGCTTCGCGTGTGATCTGCAGTTGGGTCATGGTTATATTCCATGATTCGATTAACATTAAATTCCCGAACTGAGTAATTGTTTTATTTTACAAAATATTGTTTGGCTCTAGATTCCTGAAGAGATTAATTAAGTTGAAGTATTTTCATATACTTCAATGAGATGTTTACAACACGCATACACATACAAATTTCAAACTAATAATGTTTTACACTGTGCATTAATTTTTTACTTTATTTATCTAACTTTTATCAAATTTAATTTTTTTGATAAGATATTATAAAATAATGTAGTTTCTTAATATGTAAATTTTATTTACTAAAAATAATCCTATTAATGACAAAGATCAGTTAACCTTATTTTCAGTCGAGCATCATAAACGGCGTGAGAACATTGAAGAAGAAGCGTGACAAATATGATCCATATCTGTCACTTCCTACTCTGACGGTCTAGAAGCGCATTATAATAGTTCCAAAAGGTTGAATCGCCAACCCCAAGCGCCCCCCACGCCCCGACCCGACAGAGCACATGAGAGGATGTAAGTCACGGTGACTCAGTCAGCAGAGTGGCAGTAGGCCTTTACCCCGTGCGCACCAGAGGCCCAGCCTTATTTCAGGTTCTGTGACCTCCACCCGGTCGCTGCGGGGATTCGAACCTTGGTTATAGTTCCAATTTTCCCACCACTCGACCAGCTGAGCTACCCGTGCGGGTTGAAGCGCATTATAATAATTACATAAAATGTTAGTCGTATGATTCATTGAAATGCGAACCAACAATGAATTACCCGAGTACTAAAAAGCTAACAACAAATTCAACAGAAGGATAAGTACGGACAATCCGTAGTTGAACATCGATGAAGACCGCCCTTTATCATCACCATTATTGTCATTTTGAACTAAGTTTGAGGAACAATTGTAGGGACATGGGTATTTGTCTACTACTTGAACACTTCTTCGATCAAAATACCAATCTCCAAACAATTTTGATATTGTCTGCAAAGATCCAGAAATTATCACATTATTCACTCCTTAATTGGTACTGTATATTCTAAAACCAAAAAGTATCCGTAATCCATGTATGTATGTATATACATAAACAATGTGTTTCAAATGAAGTGTTTCTTAACATGTGAACTAATCCTTGCCGTAGCTTTGATTTAATAAAATGGAAGAATCAAAACAGCATTAAAATCGCATTGACATTGTTATATACTTGTATATCTAGTATACCTCATTACTCCCATCTACGACCATGTCAGAATTCCATGCATCATTTGAAAGTTGTTCATGAAGTTTGGGAGAGGTAATTAAGATCCCTCTTGATGAAATAGTACCCTTTTGTTTGGGCAAGACACTCAGAAACTCCAATCTCAAATCTGTATATAACAAACACGATACATCATTAAAAACACATAAGAATAATTGATGTTTTTAAGTTTTAATTGATACGGAGTACAATCACTACAATGTATATATGATTAATTAAGATTCCTACCTCCAACTCTAAATACTAAATTTAGAAATATAATAAACAAGTTTTTAGACAGAATGGAAACATGGTATCTTTATTCTTTACGTACGTATGAAATCTTGTATTTTTAAAATGGATTTTACAACACCAACCTTGCAAGGTTTTAATAATCTCATTTGAGCAGTTATGAGATGTGAGACATGGTGTTATACTATTGTCTCTAGGAAACGTCCATGTTATCTGAACATTAAAACAATTCCAGAGTTAATTAGAACACAATATAATAAAGCACATATTAAAAATTAAGATCACATCAGATTGAATTATTGTAACCTGAACAGTGTCAAAAGCTGACATCAAGAAGAAGATGGGCGTTTTTATATGTTGTTGCACATTCTGAGGGAAGAAACACTACGAAACAAAGATTCATTATATATTTTTGGTGAATATATATTATGTTATGATTAGGCAAAGATAAACGATAAATTAAGAGCAAGAACACAAGAATTTATGTGGTTCACACAATCGGTTTGATTGTGCTAGTCCACGGCGAACGAGAGAGAGGATGTATTATTATCGGCGTCCCAACAGATTTACAAGTACATAAGAGTCGTTTAAATAGGTTTAAGAAAACCTAAACTGAGATTAGAGCCGCAGGCCCTGATTAAATTAAGGCCCGTAATTAAAAATTCCCGTAGACCCGGTCGGGTGCCCTCCTTGACCCGGTCGGGTCTCTTCACAGAAATCATGCCCGGGTTGATACCAGGGCGGGTATCCAAAACAGAAGCTAAAGCCATCACTGACCCAGTCGGGTACATCTCCTGACTCGGTCGGGTCTCACGTTCCAGTGAGTTCCCAAGTTTCTGCTTCAACATACCCGGTCGGGTAACCCCAACTTACCCAGTCGGGTAACTGCTCAGAAAAAGCAAAACAAGACTCCATCTTCAACAATCTCCCACTTAGAGGCTTGGTCAACAATTATCTGCCATCCAAGAACATGTATCTTCTGTAAAATCCCTGATCTCTCTCTCTCTCTCTCTCTCTCTCTCTCGTCCACGCCTTCTCATCAAGTATCTGAAAGGCCCGTTGAAGCCATGCATAGCTTCAACTTCTCCGTTGTCACCGCCTTGGTAAGCATGTCTGCTGGATTCTTTGTACCAAGGATCTTCTTCAAACTTATAGTACCATCTTCAATCAGTTCTCGAATGAAATGATACCGCATCTTGATGTGTTTCGTTCTGCTGTGAAACACCGGATTCCTTGCGAGATGAATAGCACTCTGGTTGTCACAATATAGACCGCAATCTCCCTGCTTCATGCCCAACTCTGAAAGAAAGTTCTTCAACCAGATCAACTCCTTGGCCGCTTCAGCAATAGCCATATATTCTGCTTCTGTGGTTGAAAGAGCTACGCTCTTCTGTAATCTAGACATCCAACTGATTGCCGTACCTCCAATAGTAAATATGTAACCCGTAATGCTCTTCCCGGAATCATGACAGCCCCCCAAATCAGCATCTGCAAATCCTTCTAGAATTACACCATTCCTCCTGAAACATAGGGCAGTTTCAGAAGTACCTTTCAAGTAGCGCAACAGCCACTTAACTCCTTCCCAATGTTCCTTCCCTGGATTTGACATGAACCTGCTAACAACTCCCACTGCATGAGCAATGTCTGGCCTTGTTGACACCATCGCATACATCAAGCTGCCAACGGCTGATGCATAAGGAACTTTAGCCATTTCTTTCTTGTCTTCATTGGTCTTTGGAGACTGCTGCTTGGAGAGTTTCAACTGACTCCCTAACGGTGTACTCCTTGGCTTGGCATCCGTCATTCTGAACTTCTCAAGGACCTTCTGAATGTACATTTGCTGTGAAAGCTTTAAAGTACCTTCCACCTTGTCTCTGACTATGCTCATCCCAAGAATCTGTCTCGCCTCCCCTAAATCCTTCATCTCAAATTCTTCGAACAACTTCTTCTTGAGCTTGTTGATCTCCTGCATGTTTGCTCCAGCCACCAACATGTCATCAACATACAAAAGAAGAATAATGTATGATGACTCGAATTTCTTCAAGTAACAGCAGTGGTCCATCTTGCATCTAGTGTACCCATTCCGCTACATAAAACTGTCAAACTTCAAGTACCACTGTCTAGGAGCTTGCTTCAGTCCGTATAGACTCTTCTTGAGTTTGCACACCAACTTCTCCTTACCACTCACTGGGAAACCTACTGGTTGAGCCATGTAAATGTCTTCTTCAAGGTTGCCATGAAGAAAGGCAGTCTTTACATCCAGCTGCTCCAAATGCAAATTTTCAGCAGCAACGATACCAAGGATCAACCTGATAGTAGTCATCTTCACAACCGGAGAGAAGACTTCATTGTAATCAACTCCCTTATTCTGTTGGAACCCTTTGACAACTAACCTCGCCTTGTATCTTTTGCTTCCATCCGCTTCATCTTTGATTCTGAACACCCACTTGTTCTCCAAAGCTTTCTTTCCCGGTGGTAGCTTGACTAAGGACCAAGTTTGGTTCTTGTCAAGTAAATCTAACTCATCCTCCATGGCCTTCTTCCACTATATGGAATCTTTCATGGTCAGCGCCTCTGAGTAAGATTCTGGCTCTCCATTTTTGGTCAGCAACAGGTAGTTAGCTAAGGAGAATATCTGTTAGGAGGTCTTCTGATTCTAGTGGACTGTCTAACGTGTGGAGTAGTTGCCTCTGAAGTCTCACCATCTTCATCACTCCCACTATCTTCAGACATTCCTGTATCTCCTGAGCTCCCACTGCTCCATGAGCCTCCAGTCATCTCATCACAACTAACAGGTTGTGCTATGTCATCTTCAGTCATCCCATCAAACACCACTTGCTGTTTGATTTCTGGTTGTTTGCCTTTGCTCGTATCTACTGCAAGACCATCTTTATATAGGGCATTCTCGTTGAAAGTGACATCTCTACTTCTGATAACCTTCTTGCTGTGGTTGTCCCAGAACCTGTAGCCCATGTCATCCATCCCGTACCCAATAAAGATACACTTCTTTGCCTTTGCCTCGAGCTTGTCACTATTTGCATCTCTATCTTTGACATAAGAAATACAACCAAAAACTTTCAAGTGAGTAAGAGATACCTCTCGACCTTTCCATTCCTCTTCTGGAATTTTGAAACCTATGGGAGATGAGGGTCCTCTGTTGATCAAGTACGCTGCTGTGTTCACCGCATTGGCCCAGAACATTTTGGAAAGTCCTGCATGCAATCTCATGCTCATGGCCCTCTCATTTAGTGTTCTGTTCATCCTCTCTGCAACACCATTTTGCCACTAGTACAAAAAAGGCTTTTCACATCGGTCAAAAAAGACTTTTCACATCGGTCAAATAACCGATGTTGTTCCAGCACATGTGAAAAGTCGAGCTTTTAAACATCGGTTAAACAGCCGATGTGAAATCTTATGCTACATCGGTCGTGCGGCAACCGATCTTGAAGGTTGTCCAGAAAGGCGTTCTAAATGTTATTCCACATCGGTTATAACCGATGTGGAATTTTCACATCGGGTATAAAACAACCCATGTGGAAGAGCTTCCCGGAACAAAGGATTTTCACATCGGTTATAACCGATGTAAAAAAACTTTCACATCGGTTATTTTTATCAACCGATGTGAAACACTTCAATTTTTCCGGAATATATGGTTTTTACATCGGTTATAACCCATGTAGAAAAACAATCACATCGGTTATAACCCATCAGTTTCAACTGATGTGAAAAGCCTCGATTTTTTCGGTAATTTTGCAAAAAAAAATTGCAATATGACCCCCATTTATACTATAATCACACCATTAACAGTATCACCAACTACTATAACACAATTTTTTCACCTGTTCACACGATCAATCTAAAACAACACAAGCTATTTTTCAATTCTTCCACAAAACTTAAACAAGTTTAAGTAATAATTTAGTACATAATAATAAGCTAAAATATAACAATCCTTAGCTTGCACAAGTCTAGAGTAATAACAAATTGTAAAAAGTTACAAGTCTCATAATCACTCAAAAACTTAAACAAACACGTTCATCATGTGTCGTTGATGGATTGCGTCATTTCTAAGAAATATGATGCCCAACGAGTTCGTAGTTCATCAATCTCTTCTGATGAGAATGGTTCCGGATTGGCGAATCGCTACAATTCAAATAAGAAGGTTATTAAAAACATTACATGGATCAAAAATATTGGATGCAAATAAAATAATAAAGTACCTCATCCCACATTTCAAGAATTACCGCCGAAACAATATTCAACATATGCAGCATCACATAATACCCACATTCATAATTCCCAACTTGCATTCGAGACTACAAGTTAGAACAACATAATTACTAATCAGGAATTACGGTATTCGACTTGGTGCTACACAAATAGAAGTAAAAATAACATACAAAGTATAATAGTAAGTACTTACCACAGGAATAATCCATTTCACTTTTCCCTTTCTTGAGTTGAGCCTACGGCTTGCCTCCATTGCACTATGTAATTTATAATATTAAATATATATATATATATATATATATATAATAAATGATTTATGTCATTAAGATATACAATATATATTCCAAAATTAAATAAAACAGAATGTACAAAATACTTACGCATCAATAATATTTTTGAATTGTCTATTTGGCTTATTCCCTAAAGAACACAAGAAGACAATAGTGTTTTGGACAGGAGAGAGAATAAAGAGCTGCCAATGATTCCTGTATACATAAAAAGCAAGATAAACGACAAACAATAATTAAAAAATACATAAAAAATATTTTATACAAGATGAGGGGTATTTTAAAAGTGACTTCAGCTTCAATAAATACGTGTTCTAGTAATTTTTACTCACTGATAGTAATAAGGAGCCAAGTAACATTGCTTTCCGCCTTCATTTAATCTTGTAGATATATACATTTGCACTTCATTTATAGAATTGCCTACTCCTTGAATGGTGTGTGGATCAATGAATCCATACACGTGACCAATATTTCTGGATATGCACAAGCGATGTAGATATCTAACACAAAAAAGTTCAAGTAAATAAAATAATATTTTAAGTAATCTAATAAGTAATATTAAAATAGAGATAACTTACAATATCCACACTTGTAAAATAATCGCGCTAAGGAGATCTCTACCCATGGAAACTTCAACCAATTCTCTAAAACTACAATGGCTTACTATAGGTGCACGTCCTATCACATCTTCGGGCAAATACACTGGTACAGTATCTGACCCCAAGCTCTTAGCAAATAAACACAAACTCGACAAAGGATCATCTACAACATCGGACCTCAATTTAGCATGTGTCTTCTGCACAAATAGGGCATGCTTTATGGCCCTTGTTACTATAACCAGATAAATTTCCATATGCCGGAAAGTCATTGATTGTGCAAAATAGCATTGCACGCATCTTAAAGTACTCCTTGCAAGAACTATCGAACACGTCAACACCAACATCCCATAGCATTCTCAAATCTTCAACCAAAGGAGCTAGATAAACATCTATGTCATTTCCTGGTTGTTTTGGACCAGAAATCAACAATGATAACATTACATATTTGCGCTTCATGCACAACCAAGGACTCAAGTTATAAATAATCAACATAACAGGCCATGAACTATGTTGACTACTCAAGTTACCAAAAGGATTCATTCCATCTGAAGCAAGACCAAGTCTCAGGTTTCTTGGCTCATTGCCAAAGTCAGGAAATAACTTATCAATGTTCTTCCATTGCAAAGCATCAGCCGGATGGCGAATCATGCCATCACATTTCCTTTCTTCTGCATGCCACCTCAGTTTCTTTGCATCATTTGCATTGGCAAACAATCGTTTTAGCCTCGGAATAATGGGAAGATACCATAGCACCTTTGCAGGGGAACCCTTTGTAGTCACCACATCAGAATCACATTCATCGCTCTTAACTTTATATCGTGACACTCCACAAGTAGGGCACTTGTGCAGGTCTTCATACTCTTTTCGATAGAGTATACAATCATTAGGACATGCATGTATTTTCTTGTACTCCATACCCATCGGACACAAAATCTTCTTCGCCTCGTAATTCCGGTCGGGCAATGTGTTCCCTTCGGGTAGCATGTCTTTTAATAACTGGAGCAACTCAGTGAAACTTTTATCAGTCCAACCATTTGTTGCTTTGATATTGAAAAGTCTTAACACTGTTGTCAACCGTGTGAACTTAGTGCAACCCGGATACAATGGCACCTCAGCGTCAGCACACAACTTATCATATACATGCGCCCGTGCGAATGACTCAACACCGAAATCACGTATCATGTCATCCATATGATCATATGTATCTCCACGCACTTCCTCCCTGTGTGAAGACATACTTGGCATTTCAACCGACTCACCATGCCTAATCCACTTTGTGTAGCTTTTACAAAATCCATCACAAATAAGATGCTCTCTTATAAGCTCAACATGCAGTCTTCGCAAGTTTATGCATTTAACACATGGACAATAAAATTTATTATTACTGTCAGGAAGATTTTTCTGGGCAAATTCTAGAAACTCTTGCACTCCATTTTCATACTCAACACTAGTCCGTCTAGAATTTATCCAACTACGATCCATAATCATGGTACCTTCTGTAACATATTCAAACATATCATTTAAAACTTATATGAGATGATGACTTAAATGAAATGGATATGTCGAAAAATTACAAAAAGAACTTCATTAATAACACACAAAAAAGAATTTAAAAATATGATTAAACACATTCGTATATAACAAAGTAATACTAAATAAGGATGCAATATACTCCGTAATTAGCTACCCGAATCAGATTTTTGACATTCAAATCACAGGTAGAATAATAGGATGCATGATTACTTTGAAGTCTTAAAAATATAAACAAGTGGTCATTATTATCCCTATTTGGTTCAAATTTAAGTCCCTGATACACAATGATACTATAATCTAACATGGGATTAGTATACGTAACTAAACAAATTGAAAAAAAAACTCCCAGTAGTTGATCCTCCCCTCATTTTAGTCTACCTAATATGAAACATTTTTCCCCAGAATACCTAAAATAACCTGCCCAAAGTTAAACTGCAACATCATCAATTTTTTCTACACTAATTTGTATTTACGCTTCAATTAACCTGATATAAGTTAATGAAGCATTGTATCTAATTCTTTGTTTTTTTTTCCCAGAATACAAAAGTTTCATTACTTCCAATGTAATGAAGCATTGTATCTAATTCTTTGCTTATTTAGATGGAGTATTATTAGAAGATGCTTATATCTTCTGATCATTTTTTCTCTTTTTTTTCTCTTGACTGTCAGAAACTTTGATATATATCAATAACGGTTGTGGATTCAGAATATGGAGTGGATGAGCACCATGTCAAGAGCAGGTCCTTGCCTCTATCTACCCTTATTGACATTGTTAAGCAAAAAACTGGTAAGGATGACATTGATGTTGGTAAGATCAGGCCAGCTTTTTTGATGTCTTTGGAGAAGATTCCAGTCCTAAGGTGAAGAAGTTCATGAATGTCATTCTTAATAAACTGCATTATCAAGGTGAAGAAGGGGGTGGAGGCGGTGGCTTTATGGGCATGGTTAGCGGATTGGCTGTCGATTTCCTAAAGAATAAGCTTGAGCAAAACGATGATGGTGACAGTTATTTGAAACCTGCTCTTGAGACAGAGGTGGGGAGTAAGCAAGAGGTCTATGCAAGCAGTGCTTCTGCACTCGGCCTACAAATAATTAAGGCCCATAATTTCTTAAGAAAAAGCAGTAGTATATACTAGTATGCATATTTAATAGGAATTCAAGAGCCCAACTAAAAAATAGGAGTAGTAATAAAGAAAGAACTAAAAGGTCCTTACGTACGTGTATCAAAGCTCGACAGCCCAAATTTCCAACTCCCAAGCATCAAACCCACAAATCCCACAGAAAAGAAAGTGGGCTATGCAACAAATTTTCACACTTCAGAGCTTCTGGCCAAGTTTTTTCAATAAATCAAGAAACACAATCGGACCTGTAAGTTATTTTCTTAGAATCTTCTGTTCTTCATCTTCATTCTTCTTACTTGATCAACCGAGAAGACTGGGTGCTCGGCCAAACAGGTTAACAAACTCCTCTTTTTAGAATTTTTTTAATTTACTTGTTTTCAAAATTTATTGCGAGTATGAAATTACTGCGTATCTTTGGTTCTTGATTCAACAATTCGGTATTTTCATTATTTCAATTCTTTGCAACCAGATTTTTCTGCGCTTTTTAGAAAGTCGAGTTTTTCTTCGTATGATTTGAAGTGTACAAGTGTTAGAGAAGCTCGTTGCTTTGTGATATCACTGTTCTTTCGACTTTTTGTCTTTGTTGCATTATACCTTCCTCAAATATCAGGTTGTTTCATTCCTTTTTCATTGTTTGATTTTGATTGATTCCGGTTGTTTCATTTTGAAAGATTTATGTTTCATTCGGAATTTGTTGTGTTGGTGTCTTGTTCATAAGCTCATTATGCCTCTTGGAATGAAAAAATACGAATTAGGCTATGACAAGTTACAGAAGAAAAAGAAAACATGATGCATTTATTAAGTCTCAAAAAGGTGCTCTTGATAGCCATAGAGAATGATATTTTGGAGAAAGTAGACTACCAAGAGTTCGTTGATGAGTTTGCTTCCAGAAATGCTAGGAGAATAGCTCTTTTTACTTAGATGTTTGATTAGGTATAAAACTTTTTTGTATAAGCTCTTCAGCTTAATTGTAAGAATATCTAGTATTTTGATATTCCAGATTATTAAGATAAAATATCAAATGTATGATAACATTTTTCAAATATTTTGTTCATGACTACTACTACGTACGGAGTATTATATAAGGCCCATTTTTTGTAATCTGCACAGGGACTTTATAGACTAGAGACGGCCCTGAAGCTAAGTGGTGTCACCTTCATCCATTTTTTTTTTTAAGAATGCTTATCCATTTGGACTTTGCCCGGAAAAGGTATTTACAATTGAGAAATCATTAAAAGCATAAGATTGGGGACAACAATAGACCAAAAAGTATCAGCAAAAAAACCCTCAGATGTGTGCTAGCGTGGCTGTAAACTAGTAATGGTCATTTCATTTGTTGATATTAAATGATTGCGACAACAAGTGTTGTTGTCTTCTGTGAAAAAACCTGGTTGTTTAGGTTGGGGCAAAACACCTTCATTATTCAACATTAGGATGACGGAAGACATGTTTGGCCTGTCTTCAGGACGCTGCTGAACACATAATAGAGCCACATCGCCTTCATCCATTCATTCATGACAATTAAGAAGCTAAGGAAGCTGCCTTTGGCCATTCATACCACACATCATACCAACCAGCTAGGTTGCTATTTATAGACAGAACTGCCCCAAAGGACAGATGTCTGCAAATTTATGATTTGAAGCCCTGAATTGGTGGGTTTAGATCCTACTCCACAGAAATGGAGGGCAAAGACAAAGACACAACATATGACATGTGAGTTTGTGTGTAGGTTAAGAGGATGAAAGGAGCCCAGAATAAGCTTTCTAATAGTTGAAATATGAAGTACTCATTCCAGAATTATGAAGTATTCAATCCCTAACAGCAGATTTAAGACATTTACTTTCAAATTTAACAACCGAATCTTGGTAAAAATAGTTGAGAAAAACAATAAGATTATACCTTAGAAAACAGGCAACTGACGAAAGTCCGCTGGCTCAAAGGTAGGCCGAAGAGGAAGGTTCGCCTGCTCGAACTCTGAAAGCCGCTGGAATGCTGTCTGCTCGAAGACCTGTTTTTGCTCGAACGCTTCCCGCCGTCTGCTGGAGGGACGTCCGCCGTCCTCTCGACTCTCAATCGCCGTTTGCTTCCGCTCGAGCGCCGTCCTCTGGCAGTTCGAACGCCGACCGCTCGGAGTCCGTCCAAAGCCCTAACTCGCTTTGGAGCGGACGGCTCTAACTTGCCCTTCTGTCTCTGCTCTTTCTTTCCTTCACGCAGATAGAAATCGACAAGTGCAGGCGCGAATTTTTTTTAATTCATCCAGATCGGGTAACACCGATCTAGAAGAAGAGCGATTCTTTTTTTTTTTTAATTTCTTCCGCATCAGTTTTAACCGATGTAAAATAAAGTTCCATTAATTATGAAAATTACCCCGTTTTTGTTTTCACATCAGTTGCAACTATAACCGATTTAGATTATTTCTTAAAATTTTAAAAAGTACCCCGTTTTGCTATTTCACATGGGTTATAACAACAACCTATGTAAAAAAGTTTATTAAAATTATAAAAATGACCCCGTGTTAGTATTCTACATGTGTTTTAAAATAACACATGTAGAAAAGGAGATGTAAAAAGCCTTTTTTGTACTAGTGTGCTGTGGTGTTTCTGGAACCGTTTTCAGCATTCTGATCCCCTGTTCAGCACAATAATCTACAAACTCTGTGCTACTGTACTCACCCCCATTATCACTCTTTAAACACTTAATCTTGAGATTTGTTTCATTCTCAACTGCAGCCTTGAACTTCTTGAAAGTGTTAAAGACATCAGATTTATTCTTAAGAAAATAAACCCATACCTTCCGTGTAGAGTCATCAATGAATGTAACATAGTACCGGGAACCTCCAATCGAAGAGACCTTTGTGGGTCCGTAGACATCTGAATGAATCAACTCCAGCCGCTCAGTCTTGGGTTGTTGTCTTGTCTTCACAAAGGTTACCCTCTTTTGCTTGCCTAGAACACATGGCCCACAAAAGCTCAACTTTGAATTCTTCAAATCTGGGATTTTGCCCTTTGAAGACAGCATCTTCATTCCGTTCTCACTTATGTGCCCAAGTCTTTGATGCCACAAAGTAGAGACCCCTGTATCTTCAACTGCTGCGTTTGCTCCATCTGTGGACACTTCAACCATGTACAGTGTACCATGCTTCTGTCCACGAGCAATGACCAGCTTTCCCTTTTTCACCTTCCATTGCTTGTTGCCAAAACTAACGTTATGGCCTTCCTCATCAAGCTGTCCCACTGAGATCAACATCTTCTTCAAGTCTGGAATATACCTTACATCTTTCAACCTCCAGGTTGTACCCAAAGTGGTACTGAGATCAACATCCCCAATACCCGTGATCTCCAGGGATTTGTCATCCGCCAAACGAACTCTTCCGTTGTAGGGCCTGAAATTTTTCATCAAATCCCTGCAATGACAAGCATGAAACGACGCACCTGAATCCATGATCCAGGACTCAATTGAATTCTCAACGCTGCAAATTAGAACATCTTCATAGTCCTCTGTCACGTTCACCTCCTTCTTGCCTTTGTCTGCAGAGGCTTTTGGGCAATGATTTCTGAAGTGTCCATTCTCCTTGCAATTCCAACAATTGATGTCCTTCCTGTTCTTGGATTGACCTCTCTTCCTCAACTTTGATCTTCCCTTCTTGTTACCCCCTCTAGTGGATTTTCTGCCCCTATCTTCAGTACTCAACAAACTATTGGAGCTATCCCCCGAACTTCTTCTCCGGATGTCCTCACCAAGGATTAAGTCACGAATACCTTCAAAGGTAAGCTTAGTGGTTCCAGATGAACTACTAACCGCTGTGACTGTACCGGACCAACTATCGGGCAAAGATGATAACAAAAGTAATGCTTGAACTTCATCATCGAATTTAATCTCAACCGAGCCTAACCTGGATATGATTGAATTAAACTCGTTGATGTGATCTCTCACGGATGCACCTTCCTTCATCCTTGTGTTCACCAACTGTCTGATTAAGAAAACCTTGTTGGCCGCTGAGGGTTTCTCGTACATATTGGATAACGCCTTGAGCAGTCCAAACGTTGTCTTCTCGTTGACGATGTTGTAAGCAACGTTTTTCGCCAACGACAACCTCACCACACCAAGGGCCTGTCGATCCAACAAGTTCCATTCCGCTTCCGCCATAGATTCTGGTTTGTTCTCAAACAAGGGTAGATGAAGCTTCTTCTGGTAGAGATAATCCTCGATCTGCATCTTCGAGAAAGCGAAATCTTGACCATCAAATTTATCGATCTTAACCTTCCCTTCGTCAGCCATAGCTCTGATACCAATTGTTACGATTAGGCAAAGATAAACGATAAATTAAGAGCAAGAACACAAGAATTTACGTGGTTCACACAATCGGTTTGATTGTGCTAGTCCATGGCGAACGAGAGAGAGGATGTATTATTAGCGGCGTCCCAACAGGTTTACAAGTACATAAGAGTCGTTTAAATAGGTTTAAGAAAACCTAAACTGAGATTAGAGCCGCAGGCCCTGATTAAATTAAGGCCCGTAATTAAAAATTCCCGTAGACCCGGTCGGGTGCCCTCCTTGACCCGGTCGGGTCTCTTCACAGAAATCATGCCCGGGTTGATACCAGGGCGGGTATCCAAAACAGAAGCTAAAGCCATCACTGACCCGGTCGGGTACATCTCCTGACCCGGTCGGGTCTCACGTTCCAGTGAGTTCCCAGGTTTCTGCTTCAACATACCCGGTCGGGTAACCCCAACTTACCCGATCGGGTAACTGCTCAGAAAAAGCAAAACAAGACTCCATCTTCAACATATTATTGTTGGAAGAAGAACTTAGCAAATAGATAGAAAATACGAAGTACTGTATGAAGCAACAGGTAACTGTTGCACCGCACCATTCAATAAATTTAGCATTGATATTTCTTTCATTATAAGTTTATTTACACATAAAATTAATTTAAGAAATTGCTTCATTACCAGATATGGACTAAATTTAGACGTGCACGCTTTTGGTAACGCCTTTATTGATCCCTGCTTAATTCATGCATATAGTACAGTAAAATAATAAGAGTACTTTCACATATACAAATATCCAAAAGAAATGTATCGATTATTACTAGTATTATGCATGGTTAATGGATTAATAAATAATTAATGGATTAATAAATAATGAATGCATGTCTTTGTTCTTAATTAAGTACGTGTTAGGCGCACTTAAGCAACAATGTCATCGTTCATTTTCTGTAATTGTAATTAGTTAAAGTAAAAAGAAAGATAGCCATTACATGTTTCATCGCGATTAGTCCTTGAAAGATTGGTGTAAAAATCTCCCCTTGATCCTCAAACCTTTTTCTGTATGCACACAATATAGATACGTCAATTATATTCGTGTCAAGTTTTGTCCGATCCCCATCATATATAATATAATAATTTCATTAGTTAACAATGTAAAATAAAATAGATCTTACGAGGGGAAAAAATATCCCGCATCAGACAGGCATTTTACTCTAGTTGCATTAGGCAAGAAATCACGAAACCCGTCGCAATGGATTGTAGCGGCAACTCCTCCGGCCGATCCACCAACAAGGAGAGCCTACAATAATTTACTACGTATTATATTTGTATGTAGTATTAATTATAATTGCTATTATTATTGAAGTACTATATTGCTTAAAAAATTCATTACTGTTTAACCATCTCAAAACTGTGAGAATTTTTTGCTATTATTTTCTTCAAAAAGTAAATTTGCCTCGTACTAGTAAATTTGCAATTAGTTGTCAAATGCTTACATTTTTTGCCATTTTCATTCCGAGCTTGTGATACACTTCTTGCATTACAGCCCTATAAATCCGTGCACCTCTAAAGTAGAGCTTCGTGCCCTGTATTTAAAAATAGCACTCTCATTTTAATGTAAATCTCTTAATTCAACGTGAGTAATTAAGACTAAAAACGATGATGTTGATAACAATTATAATTCTTAAGCAGGGGAAGACCCATGAAATTCATGTTGGGGGTTCAAAATATTTTTTTGGGGACGAAATTTATTTTTTGAGAGCAAAAATTATTTTTCTTATATATATACACTAAAAATAGATTTTGTTGGAGGGACGGTAACCCTCCTGGGTCTGTACTACGGTCCGCCCCTGTTCTTAAGAAATACTCCATAATATATATCATACGTTATACTCATAAGTTTTGGGCGAGTCTGATGTGAATGACGAGCCGTCACAATATCGAATCACGACCTTATTCCAGTTGTAGAAATCTAATAATTGCAAATGGCCCACAATAATTTGTTAGGAAATTATAGTACGTGTAAAGAGTATGTAATGTAATCGGATTGAAATTTGAGATTAGTTAACTACTAAGTGACCTACAAATATTTGTTCCTCTTAAATACGACGACGTATATTGTAGTGTGTACTTAATTACCTGGATTTTCACCCTTCTTGTTGCTCAGAATGTAACGAAAGTTGTACGGTTTAGGGTCTAGGGTAATATTTCTGGCGTGAGCATATTGGGCACAGTATGGGATATTGTTGCACCATGCTCCTCCCTTATTCCATGTAAAAAAGTTAAATGATTTATAGAGCAATAATGGTTATTTATTACGGAGTAATAATTACATGCACTTATAATTAACTATAGAACATGTACATGACTTTTTATTTATGGTGGCCATCTATAAGTCTATAATTATACGAACCTGAAGATATACCAACCAATTACCCATTCCACTGCTGAACCCATTGTCAAAGTAGTACGATGCAGGTTTTCCCGTCAAGCAAACTAAAAAAAATCATTAGTTTGATAGTTTCTATAGCTCCGTTAATAATAACAGTAGTAATTTAATACTAGTAATAATAATTATAATAGTAGTAGTAAGTAAACAAATAAAAACTCACCAGCTTCAGGATCACTGTGTACTAATGTAGCATTAACATAGTAGTCATCATTGCCTGAAAAAAATTAAATTAATTAGGTGCTACGTTAGTGCCTTAGTGGCATTTGAATTGAGAAGCTCATAATTTCTTGAAAGAAATAATAACTGTACGTAGTTAGAAGATAAAAATGGGGTCAAGATAGTTAATATTTTCAGAAAATGCCGAGGGTAATTACTATGAAACATATTTAGGTAGTTAAATACGGAGTATAGTGGGAGATTTTAAATTAAGTTACTCACCATCACATTTGCTGAGGAAAAATGCGGCATATAGTATTAGAGAGATGGACACAATCTGCAGGTACCCCATTTTGTGCTTCGATCTTATGAGATAATTACTAAGAAAATTAAACAGAAGGCTGATGAGCTGAGCTAGGATATATATCATGCGAGAGTGTGAAGGAGCTGAGTAGAAACTGTCCGTATATATAGCAAAGGTTTATTCAATGATAGCTCACTACCGAGCACGTAAGTCTACGTGGCTTTAATACGGAGCACTCCCTAAAGAATTGCACTCTCATTCATTTTTTTTTAGAAGCAACAAATCTGATAAACGAAATCTTATAGAGGACCACCTTAGAAGCAAGTATTTTCGGTAGGTTTAAATAATAATAATAATAATAATAATAATAATAATAATAATAATAATAATAATAATAATAATAATAATAATAATAATAATAATAATAATAATAATAATAATAATAATAATAATAATAATAATAATAATAATAATAATAATAATAATAATAATAATAATAATAATAATAATAATAATAATAATAATAATAATAATAATAATAATAATAATAATAATAATAATAATAATAATAATAATAATAATGATGATGATGATGATGATGTTTTTACTTGGATTGTTTTCAGTCCTACACCATATCAGATCAGACTTAAATAAACAAGTCTAGACCAGACTTTCATATAAAATACACAAAGACCATATTTTTATCAAACCAGACTAGTTCAAACAAGGACACTAACGCCGAGCATCTTATCAATGAGCCGAGCGCCTTCCCCGGGGCCATGCCCAAATTGGACCTTAATGGTTCTCTTGCAAAGGGTTATTTAGCCGTTTCTATATCGGGTCAATTAACCCAAGACATGGTTCTTACTCCCGGCCTCCGTCCCAAAATGTATGATCGTGGTTGAGTAAGAAAAAAGTAAATGAATGATAACCAGACAAATCTTTTCAAAAGGGGAAACAAGAAGATTTTTTTGGGACGGCCCAAAAAGGTAATTAAGTGGGAAGAATTTTCAGGTACGGAGAGAGTAATTAATAAAGGGAAGTTGTTTAGACTAGCGAGTTTTTTATCTTTTTCTTAAGATGAAATTTTCATGTGGTCAATATCTAAATATAAAATGTTATACACACACAACATTTAAATGTAATATCTTGAACATTCCGTCAACTTGGCAATTACAAATGATGGACAAACTGTATTGATCGATAAAGAGTAAGAGCCTGTTTGGTAACCTTTTTTCCGACTCACCAACCTCAACAATCAACTTTTAATTTCACGTACTAAACTGGTTGAAGACTTGAAGTTACTATGGAGGACGATATTTAATTACTTTCATATAATTTTTTATTTAGTTTTTGAGCTTTTTAAAATATATTACAGAAGTGAAACTTAATTACAAAAAAATGATTAATAGTTACTATGGTATAACCTCATAGTCACTTAGGTTTACAAATTGAACATAAGTTGCTATGATTAAGTTACTACACTATATATATAGTCACTTGTCACATTTTTGTGAACTACATTTATTATAGTCATATATATGTAATTATATCTTAATTTATAAATAAAAATACCTTATATATAATTTTTCCATAATATAGCATATTCGGCCAATATTTTAAATATAATTTTTCTATAATTTGGTCGCTTCAGGCATAACTTCATAATTATCAGTAGATTCAACTAACTTCAATTCAATTTCAGTGTTATCAAACGAGCTCCAATTAAATCAATCTAGACCAGACTTCCATATTTATAAAATACACAAAGACCATATATTTATCGAACCAGACTAGTATAGATCAGACTTAAACAGACCAGATGAACAAATATCGGTGTAATTAAAAACATCATAACAATCGGTCCAAGTAAAAACATCATTATTATAATAATAATTATTATTAGAACTATTATTGTTATTTTATTATTATTATTATTATTATTTAAACCTACCTAAAATACTTGCTTCTAAGGTGGAGGTAATAGAGATCGATGGGTCCTCTACCAGAATTCGTTTATCAGATTTTTTTGCTTCTAAAAAATGGAATGAAAGAGCAATTATTAACAGCCACCGAGCCACGTAGACTTACGTGCTCACGAGTGAGCATGTGAAGGGCTTAATAAAATTTCTGTTCCTTAGTGGAGAACAACTTAATTAATTAAGACTCTAATTAATGACCACATGTGTTCTTGGAGTGGGGAAAAAGCTAAGTGGTACATGACGTTTGCTTGCTTTATTCATGATATGCCCCATTCAATTCATATGAAGAGAAAGCAGGGCAGGTTTACTTTCTCACAGCACGGGCATTGATTGATTGATTCTCAAACGAAAGAATAACTATTTTGCTAAAAAAACAAAAACTGTGCATGTACATATACATGTATACCATATACGGCATATACCCTCTGTTTTTTTAAATATGATAAAGTCATAGAGTCATTTATTCTGCATTTCATAGAATTGTGAAATAACATTGACAATTTAACTATGGTCGAGTAATTTGCGAAGTCATAATTAATTAATTGGTGCCCAATACATTTTGTTCTTCGATGTTATGAGATACATAAGTATGAAAATTGAATAGAAGGCTGAGCTGAGCTAGGATATCATGCGAGAGTGTGAAGGAGCTGAGTAGAAAGTAACGGTTATATAGGCAATATAATATGGCAAAGGTTTATATATATTCAAATATTCAATGCTGGCTTTCTTTAGTGGCCTGATCGAGGACAACTTTTTTTGTTGAATGAAAAAACTTAAGATTCTGTTGATGACTACACCTCTTAGAGTGGGGTTAAAGTACGTACATAGGAAAATAAGAAAGAAATGGACGATATGGATGGGCATCTTGGCTTACCTTAAAAATGAAAGTGATAGCATGATGAAATGGTTAGCAACACAACAGGAGAGTGAATTGTGTGTGTGGAACCGTGGCAGTTTTTCGCTAAGTTCTAGTGTACGTGGGGTAAAGGGAATTGCGGAATAATAAAGTGCACAGGATTTAACGAGGAAAATCCCTTGGCTCAAAGGAATTAAAAAACCTCGACCTCCCTCGGAGAAATTTTAACAACTTCACTAAAAAAGCATTTGAATGATTACAAGGGAAACTCTCCTAGTCTACCATTGAGCCACCTCATCTCTATCCTCTCTAGGAAGAGTTACGCTTCTCTACCTTGCGGGTAGAGAGCCTCTCATCTTTACAACCAAGCTCTCACCACACACTTTACTCAACCCGAGGAAGCTACACTTAGCTATTCCTCAATAACCCATTTACAATATAAGAAGGGAATAAGAAACTCTATCTAGAACTCCGAGCGCAGGTTCAGATGCCTTGACTTGGGATTTGTCTCATATACGACTCTTGGTATTTTTCTCAGTCAAGCACACTTTAATTCTCTTTGGCTGCTTCGTTTATATAGGTTGTCTTGGGCAGACTTGCCTTGATATTTTGAATTACTTTCCTTCATAATATTTCCCAAATCCGAGCTTGATATATATAAGCCAATCAAACACTGACGTGCAATTTGTCGTGGTGTGCCCTCAAATTAATTATCAATACAAAAATTATACATAGTATATTGAAGTAAGGTTCGTATCCACAGGGAAATGAATACTTCTCTTTTTATGTAACTAGTAACAAGGGGGTTTAAAGTTTGATTTGATTTAATTAATTAAATACGAAGATGAACGACTTATATGAGTTTAATTAATAGAGATGAGGACTTGGTTTTGCTTTTATCCACTTAATGAAATGTTCGTTGATCCCGGTTATATCTTTAACTATCTTCCTCTCGAATACTCAATCGAGGAGTATATCCAGTTCATCGAGGGTAGTTATTAATAACGAGACGCGTTCATTAATAAAACTTACTACCGAGTTAATATAGAACACGCGCCGTATATTAACCCGATAGTAGCAATAAAATCAAGATGAAAGCGATTGAGATTGATAACCTCAACACAAGCGGTTTATTGGTTTAATCAACATAATTAATTTCCCTTGGTTTATTTACCATGAAACGCATACATTAATAACCCAAGTTTACTACCATGAAACGATCGAACGATTAACAAGCGTATTCGTCGATCGATTCTAGTAAAAATTAATATATGAAACAAAACTAGTTGATCCTTTAAGTAATGTTCAAAATATTAATATGAAATATGAATAGGAATTAATTAATACTCAAGGAAGAATATTAAAGAAGATGAATCCTATTATAGTTAATATTAAGATGTTAACTAATTGTCATCTTAGTAACACTCCCCCATATTAACCTAGAGGAAGAAATAACTATTACTATAACTAATGTCAAGATGTTAACTAATTGTCATCTTAATAACACTCCCCAACATTGATATAGAAATAGTATTTAAAGGAAGAATTAATATTCAAGGAAGAAGATTAAAGAGAATAACTCACAACTTACAAATTCATTAAGTTTCAAAGTAGCAAAACCAAGATGGAAGAGTTTATCTCCCCATTTGGAGTCTAAACATGAAGAAAATATAAAGAAAGAACTTATCTAGACTGATCTTAGAAGTGTATAAGAATTGGTTCCTTTAATGTGAAGGAAAATGGTTGTATTTATAGTAAAATAGAGGTGACAGGGTTCAGTACTCGATCCAGTATTGGAGATACTGGACCGAGTATTGGCGGTAGTTTCCAGTATATTGTGAAATATAGGCATACTAGGTCGAGTATTGCCAATATTTGGCCGAGTATGAGACATGCATGATTTTCATCAAATATTCAGCCACGTTCTTTTGCTCCCAGATTTGATTTTGACCAGCGTAACTGGTCAATACTCGACCGAGTATTGGCAATACTCGACCGAGTATTGAACAAATTTCAAGATCTCCATTTGATCTTGTCCCTTTTACACATTCTTTGGTCTTTAGGATCCATCCTTTGATTCTTGGAATGATTTTGACCTGTCCTAAGCTCAGAATAATCTTAATCTAAATAAATTACAAATAATTTCACAAACTAAAGTATTACATCAAAAGTGTGTAATTTCCACAACTAGAACTAATAAAACTAGTTAAAAATACAAACATACATAATAGGAAATTCACACCATCAAACACCCAAAATATCAAGGTAACATATTAATCACGCACCAAGTGTATAAACATCTCAATCAAATCACGTGAGGTT